AAGTAGATTCTCCCTGTTAGTCTCTCTCATAACACTGTGTTTGTTTCCTTTTTTTGAAGTACTGCTGTCTGTATTCTTTCTACTTAGTTGCTTAGTGGAATATTATCAGTCTTCTCCAAGGATGAAAGGGCAGGACCATGTGTGATTCATTCCATTGAATCTCTCTCGACAGTTCCCTGCACATAGCAGGTCCTCAATGAGAATGTGTCAAGTGACATAAGAGATAGAATTGAGCAGAGCTCTGCATTGCACAGCAAGCTGGTATTATCTTCTCATGAAAAACTTTAATGCTGAATGAAATCTCTTTCTGGGAGTACTATAGATAGAGGGTTGATGACAGGCAGCAGTTGGAAGCAGGTTGGCCAGTTTGCAGTTGTTGAGCTATCCCAGGTACCGTAAGGGGTTGACTTGGAGTACAGTGGTGGCCGTGGGTCTGGAGAGGGAATGAGCCCTAAGATGTTAAGATTGTGAGTGGCTCAGAAATGCTGGAAGGGGATTGGAGGACTTTCCCAGGATCTGCCTGGGCAGCTTCCTCTTTTCCCTGCCCAGGGATTCAGGGACTGGCTGGTGACAGTGGGCTCCTGAGGAGCCTGGTCTTCTGTCACATTTCTTATCCAGCAGACAGAGAGCCCAGAAAAAGTTGTATCCTGAGCCTACCCATTCTCTTCAGCTCACCCACCCAGGCTTGAACAGATCCTTGGCTTCTGGAATATCGATGAGCTGTACAATACCCGACTTTCCTAGGTATTGCAGAGCTGAGGGGGTGAATGTTCTCAGGAGAGAGTGAGGCTCCTGAGAACACAGGCCTCAGGCACCATGTAGGGAGGAGTCCTGGGACCTTCATCTCACTTTTGGGGAACTGAGGTCCTATTTATCCACATGTCCTATTGTCCACAAATAAATATCTGGGAATCTCCCAGTCTGTGCATGACTTGATCATCTTTATCCTACAAACCCCATACTCACATATGTGTTAATTTCTTCTTCCACTGGATTGGGGAGAGGGCACCTGCCTTCCCTGCCTTTCCTCTCTCAGACTTTTGATGCTGGGTGACAATGATCCTTCCCTGTCCTTCCTTCCCTGCTATGTCACCACTCGCTGGGCATCCCACCAACCGGACAGCCTGATCCTCTAGTGCCCTTTCTTACTTAAGCTCCTCCTTGGGAAGACAGCTACTGGCTGTCCAGAAAATGGCCTCAGACACATTATACTTCTGGGTATGTTGTTTTCGTCCTACATAGGCTTCTACTCAGCTGGGTTTTGTTTTTCTGGTAGACCTCTAAAACAGATTTGGGTAGCAAGAATGGTTCTAGAGGAACAAAATCTTAACAATTTTTCTTAATTGGTTCTGGATATCATGAATAAGTCTCTAATAGAGTTTATTGGGAGGGCACTGAAGACCCTATTGCCAATGGTAAAGAGGACACTGGTAGCCCAGGGCCTGATGTTGCAAAACACAGAACATCACCATTGGATACTGCTAATCAAATATTTGCAAAGGTCAAGGTTTGGTGAACATGTATTTGATGCCAAAAAGCATTTCAGTTGTCCATGGTGTCCTGGAGAAAGTGGGAAAAGAATGATACGGAGGATTGAAAAGAAAGACATGACCTGAAAGCTTCTATGTTGGCATTGAAGATCATTGTGCCCTATAACCACAGTGCCCTTTGCCAGGGCTCAGATTTCTGAAAACTCAACCCAGACCAATCATCCTGTCTGTACCTGAATTATAAACAAATTGAATCCCGTGTCTTGTAGGTGGCAGGTTACAATGAGAACACTGAGCATCGGGAGCCTGAAAATTGGAATGGGGACATGTGGGATATCCCCATGAAGCTGGAGACATCAAACGCCTATATTCTACTGAATCTCTTTCAGTTGGGGAATACATCCATTCCAGTTATGCATTCCAGGAGCAGAGAAGTAACCTCAGGATACATAGGGTATACAGCACCAGCTAGGAGGCAATAGCTTGCAAGGTTGAAGGAAGGCTCTCCCAGGGGCTGGATATGCTATAAATCAATGTCCAATACGTGGTACTGGTTCTTCCATAGTCAAGGTTCACCCATCCAGGGCTCAAGAGGTAGAAATGGGATGGGCACCACTCATTCTTTTCTTTCTTTTTTTTTTTGTAAAGTTTGTTTTTATTTATTTTATTTTATTTTTTAAATAGTTTATTTTCAAGTTGGTTTCCATATAACACCCAGTGCTCATCCCCACAAGTGTCCTCCTCCATGCCCATCAACCCCCTTCCCCTCCCCCTTACCCCATCTGCCCTCAGTTTGTTCTTGGCATTCAAGAGTCTCTCATGGTTTGCTTCCCTCCCTCTCCCCCACTATTTTCCCCTTCTTCTCCCCCACGGTCCTCCGTTAAGTTCCTCCTAATCCTCTTATACGTGCAAACATATGGTAGCTGTCCTTCCATGCCTGACTTATTTCGCTCAGCATAACACCCTCAAGGTCCATCTATATTGCTACACATGGCCAGATTTCATCTTTCTCATTGCCATGTAGTATTCCATTGTATAGATAAACCACACCTTCTTGATCCATTCATCAGTTGATGGACGCTTAGGCTCTTGTTGAGAGTGCTGCTATGAACATTGGAGTACATGTGCCCCTGTGCGTCAGCACTCCTGTATCCCTTGGGTAAATTCCTAGCAGTGCTATTGCTGGGTCATAGGGGAGTTCTACTGTTAATTTTTTGAGGAACCTCTACACTGTTTTCCAGAGGGGCTGCACCAGTTTCCATTCTCACCAACAGTGTAGGAGGGTGCCCGTTTCTCCACATCCTCGCCAGCATCTAGAGTTCTCTGATTTGCTCATTTTAGCCACTCTGACCTGCATGAGGTGGTATCTCAGTGTGGTTTGGATTTGTATTTCCTTGATGAGTAGAGATGCTGAGCATCATTTCATGTGTCTGTTGGCCATCTGGATGTCCTTTTTGGAGAAGTGTGTGTTCATATCTTCTGCCCATTTCTTCGCTGGATTGTTTGTTTTTCAGGTGTGGAGTTTGGTGAGTTCCTCATAGATTTTGGATACTAGCCCTTTATCTGATATGTCATTTGCAAGTATCTTTTCCCATTCTGCTGGTCGCCTATTAGTTTTATGGATTGTTTCCTTTGCCGAGGTACCACTCATTCTTACCCCTAGTGATCCAATTAGCAACGCTTTAGGTACTTGTTAGTGCAACATCATTCTGCTGGCCTCGTGGTCTTAGTTCCAAAAGCAGGAGTGCTTCCACTAGGAGACAGAAGGATGATTACGTTGAACTGCATATGAACATATCTCCTGGCCCCTTTGGGCTCCTCATAGGTCTGAATCAAAAGCAGTTATGGTACTGGATTGATCCTGATTGCCAAAGGGAAATTGATAATTTCCTTACAGATGAATGTGAGAAGAATTATGCTCTGAATAGAGGAGATACATGAGGCATCTCTTAGAACTACCATGCTCTGTCATTAAAATAAATTTAAAATGCCACTGCCGAGTTGAGGAAGAGCCAGTAATGGCCCAGATCCTTTACAAGGAAAGGTTTGGGTCATCTCACTTGGCCAAAATCCACACCTGCCTGATGTGCTTCCTGAGGGCAAAGAAAATATGGAATGGGTAATGAAAGAAGGTAGTGATAAATGCTGGCTACGGTCATGTCACAGAATGACCGTATGTCATAGAAATGAATGTATTGTTTCTGGCATTTTCCCTTATTTGGTGTGAATATGATTATACATGTGTGCACCTATGTGTCAGATTGTTTTTTTCCTTGTCTTACATCCTCCACATAAAAGGTAAATGTAGTAATATTAGTTGACTTTGTATTAGGTACAGGATTTCAGGGAGTTAAAGAATTACCTCCACCAATATGCTAATTTAGGTAATTGGTATGTTCTTAGAGAACTCAAGCAAATTTGCATGTTAGTTTAGGTGAAACTTTAATTGTGCAAATATGAAACCAAAGAAAAATATTTAATGCATATGAATTCAAAATAACACAGAAATGGTTTCTGGATTGCTTATATTTCTGTGATATTGCATCTATTAATTGGCATACAGAATCTGTTGACTCTTTGAATATACAATGTATTTAAGTATTATTAACTCCTATCCTATTAGTACAGGATCTGAAGTGATTCCAGTGTGGTATGTGTGACTGTCCTTAACTTCAGTGTGCAACATAAAAGGAACAGTAAGGATCCATAACATTGATACATGGAATAATGTATTGTGAAGCCTATAAATAGTGGCATACTAAAATAAAAGCTTAAAATATAACCAACCAACCAAACAAACAAACAAAAAAAGAATACCCTCCAATGACTTTGCTTTGTTGTTGGGGACAAGGGTCAACACACTTTTAATCATATAAAAGACACTTGGTGGAAGGACGACTTTATTCCAGTTAATGGGCAAATCAAGTATGGTTTAATGAGATGTGTGAATGCCAAGTGGACAAAAGGTGGACTGTGAAGGCTAGTTTTGTGGGTCAACTTGAATTGGCTGTAGTACCACTTATTCAATTATGCAAGAGTCTGGGTGTTTCACTAAAACTTATATAGATATAATCAATTGAATTTAAGAGAAGGATATTTCCCTGATGAATGGAGAGGCCTAATACCCTCATTGAATGGCTTTAAGAGCAGACTTTAAGAAGGTAGAAAATGCAGGAGAAGACATTCTCCCTTAGGGTTCTGCAACACCTTGGTTGTGGCCCAGTGAGACTCTTTTCATATTTCTGGTCTCCTGAACTACAAGGTGATCAATTTGTGCTTTTTAAAGGGACTGAGTTTGTGTCATTTGGTAAATCTGCAAGAGAAAATAGTACAGGGATGGACCAGCAGGTAGAAAGGGAAAATGTTAAGAGAAGGCAGACAGAATGGAGAATAGGCACTTAATCAAGAGTTACACACACAGTCAGAGCTACAACTGAGTACAAAGAGGGTAAGAGCAAACTAGGAGGAATTTGGAAAAGGGTGAGACAAAGAAGGGAAGACACTGATGGGTTAGAGGAGGAGATCAGGGGAGCTGGCAGGAGGCCTTTGTGGCTCATTCTTGTCTACACAGGGGTTAGAGGAGCTTCTTGAGATGCAGATGGATCCCATTCTTGGACTTCAGCAGAAATCTTGGCTGGGGAACAGGGACCCTGAAAGGATCTGGTGCCAGCTCAAAGCGAAGTAGTGTCAGAGCCACTGCCACCTTCATCTCATTCATGGCAAACTGCTTCCCGATGCAGTTCCTGGGTCAGGGAGGGAAAAGGAAATGCGAAGTGACCTAAGTCCCCTTGCAGGGAACAGCACTTTCAGGGCCCTCCTGCATGAGCCCAGCCCTGATCCCTTTCCTTGTAAGACACACACTCTGCCCCTGACCTTTGACAAAGCTTACCATCTTCCAGGACTAGCTCCTTCTCCTACCTCTGCTGTCAGCAGTCCAGAAATCCTTTTATAAGAAGGCCAACCCCAGAGGCACACAGCCAAGTCAAGAGATCACTACAACAGTTAATCCTTAAGTTGTTTGCTCTCTCCATAGCCATTTCTGGTTTCAAGAAAGGGAAGCCAAGATAGGGTACCATAGGGAGAAGTCTGGGTCACACTCCAGGCCCAAATCATCTGGGTGGGGGAAGGTGCTACAGGAACCCAGATCCTCAGAAAAATGACAAGGTAGACTTGTGTAAGGAAGTCAGAATGGAAACAGAGAAACATCCTGGAGGTGCAAGGCCTTAGCAACCATGCAACCTGCTACACCATCTGCCTCCCAGTTTGGGTCCAGACTCCAGTCTTCCCTTCGACCCCTGAGTAAACCAGCTGCTATAGATTCCAATTCAACTGCAGAAATATCCCTGCCTGCTATCCTTCAGCTTCCTTATCTAGGCTTCTCTGTCTCCTGCCTCCCCTCCCTCTCCTGAAGCTCCACCCAGTTCAGTCCACTCAGGCCCTCTATCACAGCTAGGACATGTCCACATGCCTTAGCTGGCATCAAAGCCCTCTCTGGCTTGTTGCCTCACATCACCTTTTCCGCTCTTCCCCGGAGCTAAGCTCCTGCTGATGAGACCTTGAGAATGTCTTCCCTCCACCTCTGCCTGCTCCATGCTCAAGGCTAAGGGCAATAACAGCCCAGCCTCACCCCCTCTGCTCACTGTACCTAGTCTTCCTGGACCTTGCAGTCACTATAATATTTTTTTTTATTCAAGGATACATTACTTTCCAGAACATGACAGTGCCAAGTACTTGGAACGTCCTACAGTGTGTTCAATTAGTAAATGAATGAGTGAAAGAAAGAATGAATGAATGATGTCTTTTTTGAGTGGAGGTATTCATCTCTTGACTGTGAACTCTCAGAGTCAAGGTCAATATCCTGCCTCTGCAATTCTACTCCTAGCAGAGGACTTGGCACACAGCGACAGGCTTAAGTGTCTTAGAATTGAATGATGTTTTTGAGCTGAAGAAAAAAAATGTGAATGGGAAAAATATAAGTAACCATTAAGTCTGAGCTAGGAATGGAGCTATCAAGCCCTCTTCTGTCTCTACTGACAGCCACGTGTCTTCCACCAATATCTAGAAAGAAGATTTCAGTCCCAGGGAGAAACCAAATCCTAGGCCAGTATCTGCAAGAATAATTGGCTTGAAGCCTATTCTGTTAAAGTGGATTCACTATTGAAGAATTTATAGATTTATGTATTTAGAAAAACACTTGTTTCTATTACCACTTGGAAAGTTCCCTGAAGTTACTATTTAGAGGACAGTTTCAGCAGCACTGGAAGATTTCATAGCAGGAACCCTGGAGAATAGTCATCTAGCTCCACAGCCACTTCAGGTCTGCTTGATGTTTTACATACCAGAAAACTTTCAAATAGCATGTGTCATATACAGAAGAGTGGATTTTCTCTCATGAGGAGTTTTATGTCCTCATTTGTAGATATTTGACCACTTGGATTATATTAAGGTGTATAGAGCCCAGATCATATATACTGATTTGACTATAGGGAAAATTGAAAAGTGTAAGTGAACATGACTACGGAGTCAAAAATTCCTTTGGATTGATGCAAACATAATGGTACACAGATTAGTTGAATATTTAATGAGTCCCTTAACAAGCTACAGTAACTACTCTCATATATCACTTAAATATTTGAGACATGCAAAGCAGCTGAGAATGGAAACATGCAAAGTAGTCAGTGGTGCAATGTGGAGACAGAATGGTGAGTTGAGTAGGAAAGGCTGGTTTGAGAATGTGTGTGAAAATTTTCTATCAATTCCATCCAGACTTTGAAATCAATAACACTTGAAAATTCACATGTGAAAAACTAATTTTGCAAAGTCATACAATGAATCAAACACTAGAATGCACTGAGCTTTGCAACAGCCACCAACTTCGGAGTGTGGCAGGAGATTGAGAAAGAAAAATTGATCAAAGTCTCCAAGTCATTCCATGCTTACCAACATTCTATTGTACATAGAGACACAAACCTCTTTCCCAGCACACAGACATGCAAGGGTATATCTGTAGACACCCATACAAACATAAGAAGTCACAGCATCAAGTATGTATCCAGTAAACAGCCCCCTATTCCCTTCCTGGTACAAATAACTCACCTTGCTCCTCCTGAGAAGGGCAGGAAAGTATGGCTGTGTCGAGCAGAACCTGGTGCAAACCTTGAAGGGTCAAACACCTGCAGACGGAGCACCAGGGCCAAGATAGGTGTGGCCAAGCCTCTCCTTCCTATTAACCAACCACCAGACAGACCACCCAGAAGTGGGGCAGGAGGATGCATTGGTCTGGAGAGCTCATCCAATACCCTCCTCCCAAGGCCATCATACCTCTGGATTTGGCCACACCTTTGGGTTGTGGTGAAGGGCATAAATGGAAAGGGTCACTAGGAATCCTGTGGGACAGAAGAGAGAAGACTAATCATACTCATGCCATGAGGAGCCATGTGAATGCACAAACAGCTTGGCAACCACAATGGGAGCCACATCTCATTACTCTGAGTAGAATGATTGTGTTGCAAAAGAGGTGGGGCAGACAAGGCAAAGCATATGTGCACAAATTATTATATATCCATGCCCAAGGTGAGAAGCAGAAAAGAAATGGAGGCTTACCTTTTGGGGCAACTCAAGTGACTGACAATTCACATTTATCAAGTAGCATCAATGAGCCTTTGGAGAATATGAATAATCTTTATAAGAACCCTCCATGCAAGCACTCATATCCCCATTATCCATATCAGGCACCTTGAGCCTAAGAGAGGCTAAGCAACTTGCTTAAAACACACACTAGGATGTGGCAGGCCTGGAATTCAGATCAGAAGTGAGCCAAGGGTGGCCTCCAACCATGACTGGGTTCTCAGATCTGGTCAGCAGGTGCTATCTGCCATCAGTCTGAGGGCTCTCCACAGAGTGGACTGTCAATATAATGATGGTGGATTCCCTGATCTCCTTGAATGCTTCGACCCCATAAGGAAGGAAAAACAGCTCTGTCTAGCCCAGTATGATTGTCTGTCCAGCCATCAAATCTCTGAATATTATAAGTTTATGCTAATTTTGAAGCCCCTTCTGAAGTCAACATATCCTTGAGAGAAGATGCAATGCACTGAGTCATTATTTTAACTGACATGTATATAGCAGTTTGCCTTTGTCACAAAGGGGTTATCCAAACAGTATTTCAAATCTGAAGGATATTCAAATAGATATGACAGTGAAGACAGAATTGGTACATGAGTTCTGACTTGAAGTCAGGAATTGGAGTATGTAGTTTCAAATCAGAGAATATCAGTGCCTTCAATGGGAATGCTGTAGCATCACAAAACAATGGAACCTCATGGTAATAGAATGGTTTTTTTTGGATAAGTTTAGGAACATAGGATTCTGTTCCTTTGACATCTTAAAAATTGAGAGGCACCTTACAGGTTATTTGGGAGAGTCAACCAAAATAGAAAATATTCTCCATATGTAGGAAGGGGAAATAACCTTTATGAAACATTGCCTGTGCTCTGGCTCTGTGTCAGGCATTTTCTATCATCATCCAAACTTGAGTATGCATCCACTTATTGAGGAAAGAAGACCAGAGAGGTTCAGAACTGCCCCATGACATGTGGACTTCTGACCTCCCGTGTGTTCCTGCAGAGTGCTGATGTGTGAGTGTGGTGATATTATTACCCTTGGGTAAGGAGCGTCCATCAGGGAAGGTGATGGGCTTGCTAAGTTCTCTGCTAATGTTTGGAACTGGTGGATAGAGTCGCAGTGCCTCCTTAATGCACATGGTGGTGTAGGGCATCTGGTCTAGGTGGTTCTTGAAACAAAGATCTCCTGAAGGACAGGCAAGACCCAGACAAGCAGGAAATTCTCTAAGTAAGTGGGCTGGACAATCTCACCTCGTAAGTACTCACCAGGTGATGGAGGCACCATCCCCCAGGAGACTCTGGACCTCCTCTCAGCACCTCTGCTGATGCTCAGGTTGTGTGGCCAGGGAACAGAGAATCCAGGAGATGCTACTGGCTGTGGTGTCGAGGCCAGCAGCCATGAACGTGTCCACTTCAGCACGGAGGTCCTTGTCAGACAACCTGCTCCTGCCCTCCATCTTGGAAGACAAAGTGACATGGCAGGCTTTGCCCCCTTCCTCCAAGCTTACGGGAAAAGCCTCAGGCCTCCCCTACTCACACTCACTTTGGCAAAGAAGAGGATGTCCAGGAAGTCCAAATGCCTCTTGCTCCTGACCTTCTCCAGCTCTCCCTCCTCCTGCATCTGAGCCTTCCTCATTTTGATCACTCGGTCTGTTCCAGAACAGTGTTCCCAGGCAGAGCTGAGAGCTCTGGATGCCCTGACACAGCCACCCTCCTTGGCCCACCTGTCCCCTGTGTCCCAGCCTGGGTGTCAGCTGGATCAGGAGGAGAGCGGTAATGGGTGTGCATGTCAGGGTGAGAGCTGCAGCACCATGTGCTTGAGAGTCAGGTACCCGTCAACAGCATAGCCCAAGGAGGCTCTGCTTGAATGCTGTTGGCAGGGAGTCTCATTCAACCTTCATCCACGTGCTGACACATGTCAGCTTCTGCACAGCACTGGTATCCTAACACCTGCACCAGGGAGTTACCAGTGTAGATGTGTCCCAGCCCCTGAAAGAGCCACGGGGGGGTCAGGGCTCTGTCTGAGTGTTTGGGGCCAGTCCTTTAGGGATGTGTCCAATGAAGGAGGGGATATACCTAAGGGACAGAGTCCAACCTGTGTGTTGACGGGCAAGCTGGCAGGCCCGGTGGTTCCAGCGGCCTTCAGGGGTCAGCCTGTAGATGATGTCGTACTGGTGGAAAGCATTCCTCACCCGGGAAATGATCTGGTTGTTCAGGTCTTGAATGGCCTGGGTGTAAGACTGGGAGATCTTGAATGAGGAGGATGCAAAAGGGCCTTGATAGAGGGAGACATCTTCTCTGGAGTGAATTGGGGTATGAGTGAGGGTTTCTCAATCAGTGGGACAGGCAATGCAAGGCATTCACCATTTCTTTCTTTAAAATTTTTTTTAAATGTTTTATTTATTTCTGAGAGAGAGAGAGAGAGCGTGAGCAGGGGAGGGTCAGAGAGAGAGGGAGATACAGAATCTGAAACAGACTCCAGGCTCTGAGTTGGCAGTCAGCATAGAGCCTGATGTGGGACTCGAATCCACAAACCATGAGATCATGACCTGAGCTGAAGTCGGACGCTTAACTGACTGAGCCACCCAGGCACCCCTCACCATTTCTTTCTTATGCCCTTGAGACCCTCATTTCTTTATGAGGACATTGTAGCCAGTCTTCTCCCAATGGCAGGGATGAGGCATCTCTGCCTAATGAAGGTGTGGTGTGGGTTGAATTTGAATATGGCCTTAGGGGTCTCTGCAGAATGTAGCTGTTTGTGCTGGTAAATACCCAAGATGCCCTAACTACCTCCCAAGATAAGTCCACACCAGTTGATAGGAAGTAGGACCTGGTTGTCTGAGAATTTCAGTGACCTGTCTGCGTGGTGGCTGCCCTGGTAGCTGAAGGCGCACTTCATAATGGTGCCCAAGGTCATCAAGGAGACATGCTCAAAGATCTCCAGATATGAGTTATGTCCGATGAGCTCTTCCCACTTGTCCTGTGGTGGAGTAATATATTAATCTCCTACTCCTCTAGAATGCCCATGATAAAAAGGCTAAGCTCTCTCTTCTGATGAGATGTCCTCTTTCTAAACTGGCTGTGATATGGGGCCCCTGGGTGGTTCAGTAGGTCAAGTGTCCAACTTTGGCTCAGTTCATGATCTCACAGCTCGTGAGTTCAAGCCCCACATCGGGCTCTGTGCTGACAGCTTGGAACCTGGAGCCTATCTTGGAATCCGTGTCTCCCTTCTCTCTGCCCCTCCCCTGCCCACACTGTGTGTCTGTCTCTTCCTCAAAAATAAATAAACATTAAAAATTTTAAAAAATAAAGTGGCTTTGTTTTTAGCAAGTTAATATAGCAAATAAATGTTTGTAATGTGATGGGTATTTTCTTAGAACTTTTTGTTATATAATTAATCATGATCTCTCATAATGTAGGGGCAAGTTATAATACTGACCACCTTTTAGAAGAACAGAAAACAATGTTTTTGAGCGCCCAAAGGTGGCAGCTTTCTGTCATTTGATCTAGACATAAGAAACAGGTGGAATCCCACATAAAGGAGCAAGTATTAAGGCAGGAGAAAGGCTAATGGGTCAGTACCAGGGTTCCTAAGGTAAGGATATCAAGGACCACATTTCCTTTTGTTCAACAAATGTCAGCTGAGCACAGTTAGTGAGAAATAGGGTCTTGCTCAGAGGTGATATTATGGTGCAACCCAGCCCTGGGTGTTGGGACCTGGTCTCCATTTCCCTCCATGGGGTGGCTAAAATTCATGCAGAAGCCTTCAGCCCCAGCCCAGAGCCCACCTCAGTGACATCAAGGAGTGTTCACCTGCCACTGCAGCTGCTACTGCCCAGGTTAGCCAGGGACACTGTCCTGTTGTTTAGGGAGATTGACTGCTCTTCCTATCCAAACCAAAGACATGATGTGGGAGAAGAGACTCTGGATCCAGAAATGACTCTCTCTTCTGTGAGCAATGAGCACAGAGTGGAGGCAAGCTGGTGCCTGGGATATTCCTGTTGTATGCACCCTGGGGAGCCCTGTCTCATAGTAAAATATAAGTGCATGATTTGGGGGCAGTGCCTGACGGATGTCTATGGGACACACTGGCCTGAGACTGGACTCTGTGAACTGTGTGTGAGTGTACAGGTGAACACGGGACCAACTTACTAGCATCACATGGACAGAGTCGACCATGAGTCCCAGATAGGGCTTCAGGATGTCATGGTGGAAGGCTGGGGTCAGCATGAGCCAGTGCTGGAACCACATCTGCCCATTCAACAGGAGCAAACCGTACCCTGTTCCACAATGGGGGAGTGTGGGGAGAGGTACTCCCAAGAGTCATCTAGGAATTTGGGAGAAACCCATGGTGTGAGAAGAAGGGCATCCTGGGCAAGGTAGGGAAGGCCAATGCATTTTGAGAATGTGTCTTTGCAAATACTGGTTCACAGCAAGTAGTCATGACAGCTGAGAGATCAAGGTGGAAACAGAGCAGGGCACAAATCATAGAAGGACTTCAGTGAAAAGTCAGGTTGAGATCATTCTCGAGGACTGCGAAGTGATGTGGAAGAGGCAGAGCTGCAGGAGGTAGGAAGGGGTGAGGCTATTTTTTTTTGAGAGGTGGGGAGAAAGAGAGTGATCATGACCTGGGGCAGAGAGAGAAAGAATCTTTAGCAGCTTCCAGTCTTAAGTAGTGTAGAGCCCAATGTGGTCTCCCATGACCCTGGGATCATGACCTGAACCAAAATGAAGAGTCACATCCTCAACCAATGGAGCCTTCCAGGAACTCCACAGGTGAGGGTTTTATCGTAAGAGAAATGAGGTGCAATTCAGAGTTGAAGGGTGTGACTTTAGTGCTGGACACCACAGTCTTGTTTAATCTCAGCCAAATGGATAGTTGTTGGCAAACCAGAAGGTAGACTACCCAGTAAGACTGTACTCACCTGTCCAGGGAGCCATGAATCTGTAGATGCCATGAGACTTTGGGTCTGAAAGGTAATACAGGCTTTACAGAAAACTGAAGGGAACACTGAAGGCAGGCAGCCCCCAGGAGGAGCTGCGGTCCAGGCCCTTGGCCCCCATCCCATCCTGAGGACTGTAAATTGGCAGTTTGTGTTAAATCACTTCCTATTTGTCTCCAAGCCCTGACTCCCTTTCTTTCCTGATAGTCACTGTGGGCTCAGGAGGGGAGATTCAGTGTCTATAGCACAGCCCATCAAGAATCAGCAAGAAATATAGCTGCTGTCCTCAGTGCTAGTGAAAAGACAGAAGCTTGTGGATATTTTTTATGGTGCCTCAGGCATTTTACGACCCAGCAGAGGCAGGACTTTCAAATACCAGTCATCATGGAGAGCAAATTATCTTTCAAATCTGGGATCATATCAGTGTGGTGAAAGAAAGAAAGAAAGAAAGAAAGAAAGAAAGAAAGAAAGAAAGAAAGAAAGAAAGAAAGAAAGGAAGGAAGGAAGGAAGGAAGGAAGGAAGGAAGGAAGGAAGGAAGGAAGGAAGGAGGAAGGAAGGAAGGAAGGAAGGAAGGAAGAAAGAAGAAAGAATGAAAGAAACAAAGAAACAAAGAAAGAAACAAAGAAAGGAGGGAGGGAGGGAGGAAGGAAGAGAGATAAAATCCCTCACCGCTATTTGAATTCCATCTAAGTATCTATGTTTGGCCTTATGATGGCTTGTGGGCTAGGAGGATGGTTGCTGGAGGATATTGAAGGTTGAGCCACTACTCCCTTCCAGAATTTCACAGTCCCCAAAACTGTACTCAAGAGGGAAGAACCATGCCAGCAGACATGTGGGTTAGCTCTCACCTGATAGCCCCAGGACCACCTTCATGTAGTCCGGATCATAGACTGTGAGGGTGACTTTGCTCCCCCATAGCCAGTGAGGACTGGCACTTGGGTATTTTTCTACCCTTTTCTGAAGATTTTGTAGCTCATGCCCCCCTTGGAACTGTAACCAAGGGAAAGACAGATCAATAAAACCTTCCTCTTTAGGTTCACTGCTTAGAGTGGTGGTTGAGGGTAGGATGGCCACAGGGCAATAGTTCTAGATATTGGTAATGATTAGGAGTTTGGAACTGTTTCTGATGAACCAGGTTCTGATCTGGATTCCAGATTCAGTGAACTTATGTTCTAGTGTGGGGGTGGAGGTGGGGAAGACAATCAGGTCTTAGGGACTGAAGTGTCCTTCAATTACTTAAGGAATCTGCCTTGTGTTCCCAAGTCATGGCCGTCATTGGGCCACCTTTTTCCTTAGATCCAGTGCAGTCACCACCCAGTGGGAGCCTCTTACCATGAAGCTATGTTACTTTGTCCTCCATCATCCCCTTGTACCTGCACAGCAGGGGCCCTGGGTCCTGTTTCTTCCCAGTGACATGCCTCCTTTCTGATTGCATGCTCTCCTCTGCTAGTGGACCTCAAGAAGCCAAAGGGTGCCATGCCAGGCTATTCCCATCTCTGGGCCATTCAGAGGGACACTGGTCTGTCAGCTCTGGACAAGCACTCAGGGCTACCATCTGTACCTGAGCAGATCTGGCCAGGGCAGGTGAGACTCTCATAGAGTAGATAGTGCCCATGTTAGCAGTGACAGTTACCCTGTCAGCAAACACTCAGTGCCACTGGTCTTCAGGCTGCCACACTCAATGCAGGCCATGCTCCACTAAAGCTGCAGCCACAAAAAAAATGTCCCCCAAAGGAGACACAAGGACAGAAGGGGGACAGAAACGAAAGGGCAGCACAGACAACGGTCAGGTGGTGTGGGCTCTGCTGGCTAACAGTCTGCCTGAGACAGGAGGGAGGAAAGATGGGGTTGAAACTTACCTATTTCTCACCCTGCAGTTCCCCTTTCTAGTTCCTGGTAGATTTCACCCCTAGGTAGTGAAGCGAGTTTGCTGACCCACAGCATGCTTGTCCTTCGTAGGCATTACATTATTTTCAATTTTTAATAATTAGTGTGTAACTATCACCTTTGGTCTCTGCCAGACAATATTTGAAGATTAGAATGACTCACTTGAGACTGTAATCAGCAGCATCATTATCATCCCATTTTACAGAGAAGGAAACAGAGGCATAGAGAATGTGGCAGAGCTAGGATAGAATCAATGGAGCTTGACTAGAGCCCACATGCTTCACTGTTCCACTTGTGACTTGTCACCTGGCCTGAAGATTAGCTTCAACTCACCTCAGGTGGCGTTCTGACTCCTGACTTAGTCA